AAGAACATATGGTTTATGGTAATTACTGAACTTCACTATGGATGCTGTTATTAGCCATCTCTGATCTGCACCTCAAGTAAAAGCTTTGTGGTAGTTATAGATTACAATCAAAACCCAAATTTCCATTTTGGGCTCACCAAACTAGAGTGGAGAGATGAAATGAGAGAGACCAGGAGGTAGCACCAAACCTTAAATAGACAAAGCAATTATTAACAAGCTTGATGTATCTGGCTGAATCACAAGAAAGATCTAAAATGAGTACAATTATGTCTGAGGTAACATGTTTGTAAACCTAAGGATGTTGCAGCAATTAAATATTTCCTATATTCCCAAGGCAGGCAGATGCTTGGAAGCAGCAATGCTTTTGATGCCCCTACCTTTTTACGCCTGCTTAATAGTTCCTTCAAAAATGTGTCACTAAAGGAAGGTGTTCACCTCCATATTTACAGCAGATCTGACTTACCAGGTTGCTAAAGTCAGGTACTGCACAAAGGATATTTCCAGGAATTGTTCACATTTTCTGAAAAACGCATGTGACACGTATTCCTTCTCATATTGATATTTCAGAGAGAGTCTTGAAATACTAAAACCAATTTTGTTCTTTAATGGCATAGATTATAATAAAAACACTGTGGAAAAACTGAAGCAAAGTAGCAAACTTCTCAACTCATTTATTCTTTGTGAATTTCTAGCCTTTATGGATAAAGACTTGAGAGTGAGGAAGACAGGGATGCGATGGCTTTATGCAGGTGAGATGAGGTTCCTAGGCCTTCCCACCACAGCAGTGGGAGGGACAGGAGAAGATATAAGCCTTTTTTTTTTTTTCTTTTTTTTTCTTCCTTGTTTTGTAGCATTGGTTCTACTGGACAAAGTCATTCAGAAGATGCTTTAGCACAGAGCATCTAATGGGAAATCTCTTTGGAGCCATGTAGAAATGACTCCATTCTGTCTAGTGCTATACCAAAAATCAGTCAGGGCTTATGTAAGAAGTACCAAGACATTTTACTAAAAATAACATCTTGTACTAATGAGATGCTATGATGATATTTTACAGTGTATTACCCTATTTCCCGATCCACAGGCACGCTGTTAATAATGTTATACTCATAACCTCCTTGTGCTCCCTTCAAAGCAAATTTTTTTTTAAGCAACCTGTACACCACATGCAGTGCAAACAACTGAATGAATTAATAACCTTCAGTAAAGCAACATCCAATTAGTACCAAATACTCAAAAGGCTGTTTTTCATGCCTGTTGCTAGCACTGCTGCTTAGTTTACAGGAAACTTCTTATTTTCCAACTTAAGAAGATATTGGAGTTTGGATCCTGTGAGGCTTTCATCTAGGTTAACAGTGGGGGAAGGTGTATGTTGTGTGTCATAAAATGCAGGTAGTTTGTAACTGGTTTTGAGAACAGTTTACTATGATTTTCCATGTAGTTTATCTGGTATGCACACAACTCCTTCCCTGTGCAAAAGCCTCCTGATAACAGTGATGGAAGAGAAAAAGTGACCTGTGATCCCACAGAAGCCTTAAAAGATGGTTTGAATTTTGGAGAAGGCCTGGTGAAGGTGGGGGAGGGTGGTAGATACTATGTCCTTGGTGTAGGTGTGAGAAATGACCCTTAAAACCTCTGGTCAGCTTTCTGAAGTCCACAAGATTAATCAACTGCATTCTGTAGAAAGTTCAGGTTTCTGTTTTCCTTGTTTCTCTTGCTGGTATTCCTTCTGCTGCCTTCTCATCGGAAAAATTATGCTTTAAGGCAAGGTAAAACTATTAATGTCTTATTATTGTAATAATTGGTTTACTGACACTTTAAAATGTTGAGGGAAAAGCAGAAGTCTGTTGGACTGTAAGGTAACATTGTGTTTTTTTTTTTTTTAAATCCTCTCCTTAGCCATATCTGTATTTTTAAATCAGCTCAAAGACATATTGCACTATCATCAACATCTTCTCGAGTGCATTTATTCCAGTACTCCCACACAGAAAGTAGAGAGAGATCTTATTTCAAAACAGTTACAAAAATAAAACTATGGAATTTAAGTTGTCAGATCATTTAAGAAGAAAAACAATCATTTAATGTTATCTACATTAAAGACTCTTAACAGTAAGATAATGCCATAGGGATGGATGATTATTGATTTCCTTCCCCCTTCCCCCTTCCCAATACTGAGAATTTTAGCAGTTCTCCCTCCAATATCCAGCACTTCATGCTATGAGAGCTTATTATGTTTTTATTCTCTGCTATGCATTCAAGCCAAAACATTAGAGTACAAGCTGTCACTTAAAATGCATCTTGTTTTCTTGGTTCTCAATGCTGGCAAGTTGCAGTCACAAAACAAAACCAAGGCTCTTTCAAAAACAACATACCACATATAAAATAAAACTGTAGTATCCAAGTCGGAGATTCATCTTTTTGAAGGATGACAGTTCAAAATATAGGTAGACTTCTTGATGTTGCAGTTGACTCCTTGTTTTGCTTGCTTAAGACCCAGTTTAATATCAGGGCAAGGAGAGACTATTTGTTTTAAAGGTAGGAGTGCTGAGGGCTTAAGAACGGAATGATTTAGCTTTCTGTATGACAGATGATAATGCAAAACACCGTAAATCTTCTTGAATACTCTGAGCTATCTCTGGCATCAGGAATGTTTTAAAATAGACTAACAGAGCTTTTTTCTCTAGGAAGAAAAAGGCTTTAATCAGGCTCTCGCTTCTTTATTGAGATCTGAAAATAATTGAGGAAAGGGACAAGACTCTTGCCTCTGCATCCTAGTGCTCTAGGCTGCAGCTTCCAAGTTTTCCTGTTCTTCAGTGCACTTTGCTGTGGGAATACAGAAATGCAGCTTCCTCCTCCTGCAGCCACCCAGCACCTCTTTGTTCTTTAATCTCTGACCAAAGCACAGCTGTGAATCTGGCGAGCTGAAGCACCACTCTCATCTTGCTCGAGGAGCACAAAGTGAAAAACCTTCCAAAATCAGTATGTGGAGACGAAGAAAATATGAGCTATCTCATATCTCGTTATTTGCAAGACTTTTTTTTTTTTTCTTTTTTTCTTTTACCATGAGCGTGCTTTGTTTTTAAGGCGCTGCTGGGCAAATAGCTGGAAAAAAGCTAGACCAGGGCAGCATAAATACAACTCTCCATGGCAAAAGCTCTATGGCAATATATACATCCAATACTCTAGATGAGCTGCTTGCTTCATAAGAAAACTCGGCCTGAGCAATATGTGCCTTATTTCTGTTCTTTCCACAAGTACTTGGAAGAGTATTCTACTCTTAATAAGCTATGGGATAATAGTTTAGTTACTCTACCCACATCTGCCTTAGCAACAATCAGTGAGTTGTTATTCTCTACCTGAACTCTAAAAATAGTTATTTTTATAAGCTCAGAACACAAATTTTCTCAGAAAAACTCATTCTCATGAAAAGTTACCTGTCAAGTTTGTGTGCAAAACAAAGTATCCTTTATTAGAAGATTCCTGTAGGTGGTGCTTGATCTATGATGATGCAGGGAAAATGCAGACAGTAACTTTTTTTTTTTTTTTAAGATACTGCAGCAAAGAATATTAGATCTCTGTAAGCATGGGCTACTGAGGATAATATATTTTATCATTAGATACTTTATAGCTGTCAGCTCCTGCAGAACCACGTTAATTCTTTACCATTCTTTTTTCCTTGCTGTCCTTACAAACTAGTGACCTAATCTCTCAGTTCCTGAAATACTGACTGAAACCTGAGACTAGAGTACAAGCAGATATTTCCTTTTTTGTGGAACAGTGATAAGGTTTTAGCATAACTTCACTGGAAAACAAATCAGAACGTTTTTTAGTAAAAGAGCAAAGAAACTTTATCGACTGTCTTGCCTATTTACAAAGAAGGTGGTTTCTTCAGGGTTCTGGAAGAGATGAGTTTTGACAAGAGGCTAGTAGAACCTTGCTTAGCCAGTAACTAGGAGTGAATACAGTCTGCTCATATATTAGAGGAATGCCTGCCTATCAGATTAGAAGATACTCATGTGAAAGACTAGCTACAGTCCAAGGTCTTGATTTTACAGAGGAAAGAGAATTAACTGAAATTAATTAATTTTCCTTCAGCAAAGGAAACATCTATATGTTGCTGTCCTATAAAACGTAGTGCCTTTTTTCCACAAAAACACCTTATGCTTAAGTATTCCTTAAATTCTGAGATAAGCTTTCGAGAGAACTATCACCTCAAAAAGATTACAATAAGGCAGTAGTCTTTATGTTCAATCATCTAGCTTGAGATCTACAGCTTGAGCTAATATAGTTCCTGGGTCAGAGGAAACAGTATGAAACTTTCAAGACCTGCCATTTTTATTTTTCATGTATTTAGCTTTATTGCACAACACAAGAGTTTGATAATAGTCCAAAAACTGGTATAACTGATGCTACAGTGCTGCATACATTGGTGTTTATATTATGGAATAAAAACCAGATTGGATTTTCCAAGGAGATGAGCCCTTTGTCCTACTGATCACTTAAGATACAACTACTTAATATATATTGCAGTTTTTGGAGAAGCTCCATTGCCACGTGCTTATGCAAAATGAGTTGTGTATGACAGGAACACATTCTTGGTGTCTAGTAGCAATTAAACAATTTGCTTTACTATTTTGAAACTGACAGCATCTCCCCAGAGGGGCAGGGACACTGCCCTAAAAGTTTTTCTCCTGCCCTAGCTCTGGCAGTAAGTGGTGGAAGAGAAGTTTTTAAAAAAAAAAAAAAAAAAAAAAAAAAAAAAAACCTTTCTCCAACTGTCTATACAACTTCTGCACAAAAAAACAAGGCTACAACCATAGGTTAGAATGGTGGCTTTAAGTCTTTGTTTATGTGATTTCCAAAATACATAAGGCAACCCATTCAAAAATATTTAAAGGCATTTAATTTAAATAACATACTCTATATGATCATAGAATTAAAAAGCAAGTGGAGGGAGAGATGCGGGAGGTCCTCAGGGAAATGCCATTAGTCCCACTCCCCGGGGCTCATTTACTTCTGGTTTCTTGGTTGTGAGGCCATGTACAGTGCTACCAGGCAGTAGATTGTCCCGCCTATTGTCAGAGCCATCGTGGTCCGATAGAGCAGCTTGTCTGGAACTCCCCGCTTCAGGTGGACTGGCAGCCCGTCTGCTTTCTGTGGGAAGAGGTTGAAAAGAAAGACTTATACAGAGACTACTAGGAGCAAGCTACCCCAGTTAATACCAGGGGAGTTCTCAGAGGGAAAACTGCTGAATAATGGGCTATGTGCAGTCTAATGGATCAAGTGTTTTTCATTTAGCAAGACAAATGCAAAGGCAAGTTAATTTTATTAGCAAAAGCTGTTATGCACAGGCACAAAGAATACCTCTTGAAATATAATTTTTGAAGAGGACCTGGACTGGAAAAGTATCATTAACAAAAGAATCTGAAGAGATATGTATAAAAGGTTATTCACCAATTCAGACTGACACATTCCAAATGCAAGTAGCATGTAAGAGAGAAAAGGGTACATTACATAAAGCACTTTCTTGAGCTCTTTAAGAGAGCAAAAACAAACAAAAACTAACCAGTTTTGAGAAGTCCTGATACACTTATAAACTGCACAGCTGACAGACCAGGTTGATGACCTTACCGCGCTCTTCTTCCACTACATTATAGGCAGCTTCAGTAATATTTAAATTAAAATAAATAAAGTAGAAATAATCCCTGCTTTGCTCCTCCAGATTTTCAAGTCACATATCTGGATTCTCAGATGAAAAGTACATCCAAAAGTCAAAGGATACAAGAGGTAACTTTTGAAGTACCACCTCCTCTCCCTCAAAACAAACAAACAAACAAACAAAAAAACCTGAACAAGAAAAAAAAAAAAAAAAAAAAACCACATCCACCACACTAGACTTTTCACTTCCTACATTTATACCCAGTATAAGGTCACTGGGGACCAATCCTGGCTAGACTGCAAATAACACTTTCTTAAGCAGACTTTAAGAATTGTAGGTATTGTAGAATGACAAATTAATTAATGAGCCACATTAGAGCAAAATCTAGTCTACGCTCTCCGGTTTTCTTTAAGTTACTCTTAAAGTTGTTACCTGAAAAAGTTTCTGTAGGTCTGGCACCTTGTTTTTACCCAAGAAAGAACCATCTGCTGGTAAATCTGAAGCAAGCTTAGTTGTTGTCCCAAAAATCAAAGGTGGGGATTCAGTAGGTACTATTGGTTTGAGTCCCTGCATAAATAAAGATTAAAGTATATAACAATTGCAAAATGACCAATTGTCACATTAGGTAGACATGTTGCCAGTCATAACAAGGATACATTACAAAGAATATTCATCTGGCACGAAGACCTGTGATTTAACAACAATAACAAAAAAAAAAAAAAGACAACCAACTAAAGATGCATTATAGGCCCACTTATTTCTCAGCTACAATTTTGAGTCAGGAAATCTTATGAGGACAAAAGCAGTAGCTTAGAATCTTCCTTTTTGATTTCTTCATGGCATAAGTTTCTGGTCATCATATTTGTAAGAATTTTTTTTACCTTTAAGTCTCCCTGTGCTGATACTCGGTCCAAGCTGCTGCTTATTTTTACACATGGTTGTACCTAGGCCCTGTCTGGGCAGGGCTGCTAGGAGCAGGGAATTCTGGCTACTTAGGTCAAACAGTGAAGAGACTAAACCCTCCTCCTGCATACTGAAAGCACTGGTCCATGCTGGTGTGGGTTAGGATCTCTCTGTTGAGGAAAAAATGGCTGAGATCCCAAGTTGTTCCATAATAAAGTAGTATATGGGCCTCGAGGATAGTGCAATAGCCCTGACAGGGTGACTGTTGTGTGCAAGTGCTACTATGCTCTGCAACTCATATGCTACTGTAACTTTCTACCTCTTATGTATTTCCTCTGAGCAACATTTAATTTCCTTGTAGTTCAGAAGTTTGTTCTCTACTTTTGCCAAAATTAATCCAATTTTATTATTATTATTTTAAATGAACAAAGTTACAACTTCCCTCAGCAGCCATGAGGTGGCCTCCTTGCACTTATTATTATAGTTAGAATTAACTGCCATGCCTTAGCACAGGACAGTGACATTTTAAGTTATGGCTCTTTAAACCCTTTTATTCTGACTTGCCATAGAAATTAAAAGCAACATACAAGTAAGTTAATGCAACATTCTTTTCATTCAAACTGAAGCAGCAAGTGCTCTCCATGGATTAAATTAAGTAGCAATAAAATTCCAGTTTCCTCTTAAAGGACTAGTTAATGTATTTTGTACTTGGGAGTACAGTACTCACAGTGGGACCTGGTCTAGCAGTCTTTTGTTCCTCTCGTGCCTGCCACACTTCAGACATACTTCCTCCATACCTCTACAGACTCCTTGTGACAATCGCTGTCTTTAACAGAAAGATTAGAAATGGCCTAGGAAATGATTAATCAGGACTCTCCTGAAGACACCGGTCCAATTTCTTGCTTTTCCTAGTGCCTAAATGAATCTTGCTAATCTCTTATGACCTTCTGGGTTGCGTTTTGCAAGAAAGTGGTCAAAACTGCCTTCCATGACACAGTGAATCCAAGCACTCCTGAACCAGACTAACTAGTGCCCTTTTACTGGACAGGCTTGGACAGAGATAAGCACCAAGTTATTTAAGACAAGGCAGTTCTAGTCACAAACAGTGAGAACAAACCCTCTACAAGGCTACTGCTAAGCGAGGAGTAGTTTGGGCCTATAGATGTCAAAGAAGGCTGCTGGTTCAAAAATGCTCCAAGATAGCAATTTTGGACTTCGGTATTTTTGCTGATGAGAACTTAAAAGTACTTTATCAGATTGTGCTTTAAAAGGCTGCTGGTTAGACAGAAACAATAGAGAACAGATACTTCTATATGGGATGTGCTTGTGATTTCCCCCCTCAACTCTTTCCTGCCCTCTTGACTGTCATTATAAATCGCCTTCCAAAACAGCACTGAATGAGTTAAGACCATCCCCTAATGTCACTGATACTGCCTCACTGGTTTCAGAAAAAAAATACAATAAAATAAAATTTGGAGAAGAAAGTTCACTTTTCTAATGTAGACACTGCTTTAGTCCAGATCTCTCTCCCCAACACAAAATTCTACTTTTATTTTGTCCATGAATCTTGTGGTCAACTTCAACCAAGCTCAGCTAAATCATCGCTTCAGTTGAGTACACAAGCATGTGGATGAAGATAAAGTGGAAAAGGCCCTTATCTCCCACCCTACACAGTCAAACTTACTGTAGCTATACAGAAATCCTCAATGTTACAAATAAGAATTTTAGTACAGATCACTTTTGAGTATATCATTAAGACAGCTTAAGCAATGCTCATTGTTACTTAACTGTTACTTCGTGTTTAGCTCCACTAGAACTGCGGCTTATTTATTAGCATCTCTCTGCACTCAGCTTCCTCTGTTCTATGCCTTTGACTTACGCTACATAAGAAAATGTTTCTTCCTGATAATTGATAAAAAGGTGTTAATCTTTTCTTAAAAAAGAATAAGAGTCTCAATTCTTGGACAAAGCATAGCAGATATAGTCATGCAGAAGAGTCAATATTGCTGTAGCATGTTGATGAAATCCAGCGATGACCTTCTCAAACGCTGAAATCCTTAATGAAAGATCAGGATATGGAGCCAATCCAAGAAAACATCTAAGCAAAACACTCAAACATCACCAATGTTTTATTTAACTTTCTGCTAACCTCTCTGTAAGCGTTTGCATAGTTCAGTTTGATGGTCTAAGGACACAGTCCATCCACTGGTCGACCAGAATGCTCAAAGCTAGAACAAATATACACCTGGCTAGCACGCACTCCCAAACTACATTTGTATTTTTCTGAGAGTGTAAAGCTGTTAAAGATCTGGAGTGCAATTTAACAGAGATAGCACTATGCTTTAGCTTACAAATGTTAGGGTATTCTTCAAACTGAATCATATTGAGAAAGTGGAAAGTGAAGCAAGGACCGAAAAGGAAGTGAACTGTTATTTCAGAAGATACACGGAAGTAACCTTTATGGGCATAGCGAACCTAAACGCTTATCAACTAAATAGCAGATCCTTCATAGCAGAACATAAACCATTGTATGAAGTTAAATATGTCAACACTGACATGATGTTTTACATGGGACTGCTTAGAGGCTTTGCTTGCACTGGAATGACAAATGTAAGTAAAGATGGCTTTGTGTATTTAAAGTATAATCGACTTTAGGGAAAGGTTAATCATTATAGTTTCCTAAGAAATCTAAGCAATTTACACAAACTAAAAATCCTAACCTACGATTTGTGTGTGTGTGTGCGCATGTGTGTGCGGTGTTTGTTTTGTTTTTTCACCTAGAAGGTGAAATACTTTATATCACATGAAGTTACCTTAGTAAAAAGTTTTGGGGAAAAAAATAGTATAGTCTATCTTTGTACTTGAAACTGGTCCTGCTGTTTGTGCTTTAAACGTAAGCAAACTATTTGAGCAAATGAAGGGCTTTTATTGTATCTGTAAGTGCAATGGCAGTCACTACTCTCCTAAAGGTGAACAGTGATTTTTAACCTATTTGATTCCACATCTGAGAAAGTTCCAATTTATTCAAACAGGCTAAATGGTTCAAACTACTTTACATAAAAGACTTAATTTTGCACCTTATGAAATTAAGAATGTTAAGATAAAAAAAGAAGTTTCAAACATAAATTGTTGTTAGTCCCCATTGTTAGTAATGTTGCTGTCCACAAAAAATCTGAAATGAACTTTCAGATATTTTGCAAATCCACAATAAGTTTGCATTATTAATCTGCATCAGAACAACACTCTATTGGGATGAGTCACAATGCGACACTATTGAACACAGTGAATAATTATGCTGTATATTGGACCAAGTGGAATTTGAATCAAAGAAAGAGTCTTCATTTTTCCAGAAACACTGAAATGCAATAGCATTAAAAAATGAACTGTTTTAAACACTAGGCTATGATTGCTTATTGAATGCAGCAAGAAAATCAATATGAAAAACTTTATTTGCAAATTTTGAACTTGACATCTACTTATTTACATGATTGCTTACATATTTTAAGCTCCATTTATCGCAAGCTATTCCATCGGATTGATGGTTCTGAATGTGTCACCTGGCAGTAGATTCAAACTTAACAAACACAACTGCCAAAAAGCTAGGATTACTAACATTGCAAAAAAAAAGGATTGAAGCATTTTTAATGCAGCTATCTGTTGCACAGCACATTCGATTCCCACAGTTAAAGACTAAAACATGTGAATGCTGAGCCAGAAAAAAGCTGCTGTTTTTCATCACTGCATGCAAAAAAAAAAAAAAAAAAAAAAAGGGTGTGGGGGTAGTGTCTTGGCCTTGCTCTGGGACCTTGAATAACTCAATAACTCAAGAAGTGTTAATAGAACAATCTTGCAAAAGGTGATTGGATTTTCCAGGCACAAGCTTCCATAGACAAGGACATGCAAGAAAGCAGAATTAGGCTAAGAAATGATTACACAGATTCAGATAAAAAACTATCTTTGTATCATAACAATATATACCAATCTAAGAAAGCATACAGTAGCTCCAGTCAGCTTTTATTAATGAGCTTATCCTGAAAAAAAAACCTCATCATTTGATTTCACCTATGTATTTATATGTATTTTTAATCTTAAATCTGAAATCATATCAGAAATATTTGCCTTCTGTAGGTAGCTCTTTAGAACCTTGACTCTGTTCCCCATCCTTAACCTAGCATATAGAATGCTTTATTCTATTACTACTGTAAGAACTTTTTTTTTTTGAAGTTCAGAAACTTAAACTATGCTGCATCTGTCCCTTGACAAGCTCACATTACAAATCTCCTTGAAAGACTAAGGAGTCTATGTTGATAGAGTGATAAAAAAGGGTCATCTTTCTTTTACCGATGTGCATTTTTTTTTAATCCTTTAAAGTGGCCTGTACTAAGGGACTTGGCATTAGGTGCAGCGCTCCTCCAGTTCCTCATAGCTACTATTTTACAATATGATAGAGTTGCAACTCAGAAGCAACACCAAACTACTCGACCAAACTACTCGGCCCCACAGCGTGTTATTTCCTGGTTCTAACACCCTACCCACCCCAAAACGGCCCCATAATCTGCAGAGCTGAGCCCAGCGCCTCATCTTGCCCAAGGTCACAGGACAGCCCCAAAAAGCTGCAGGCCGGTCCCGGGAGCACCGGCTTCCTGAGGCCGGCGACACCAAGCCTGGATATTTACCGAGAGCACAGCTAGGAGCCGGGGTA